AAGTAATCCCGGCCTGTGTATATATGTGTGTGTGTGTGTGTGTGTGTGTGTGTGTGTGTGTGTGTGTGTAGTGTGTGTGATGCTGTGCCCGGTCTCGTGCCTGCCTCTCCTCCGGGAGTTGGGTCAGTGGCGTTGTCTGCTCGGTTTTCCCCGTCACCATGGCGTCGCTGCAGCTAGCACCGCGGGGCTAACGGCCAACAGCGGACAACAGCAGGGGTCAGAGGTCAGGGGCGGCCGACCAATCGGACACAGCAAACCGCTGACGGGCAGACAGGTGAGTCCGCAGGTGACCAGGCTCTCCTGCTTCAGTGGATCTGTTTGTTGTTGTAGGGAAGAGTCCAATAATCTCTAGGAGTGTTTTGATTTGATCGTCAAACGAACCTTCAAAATGTCGCTAACAAGAGTTTTTTCCACGAAGCGCTGTGTTTGAATCTCTCTCAAAAGAGTCCTCTGTGCTGAAACACTGAGATCACCTCCGTTACTGTGATCACAACATGAGATCTGAATTCCCTTTTTATATATTCTGTTTCTCAGTTTGCGTACTCCTGTGGTCTAGAAGTTGAATGTGGATCACTTCTTTATCCGCCCTCTTCGCTAACAAGCGTTTTGTACATATGGGTTTATTCAATATTCAATACTTGTGCGTCCGGTTCATTTTATCCGATTATTGAGCAGTTTGTTGTGATTTGCTGCTGCGTACAATACCATTGCTTGCTGGCTATCTAGCTAACAGGTGTTATTGTCACTTCCTGTGAGGGCACGGCAGCCATGTTGGATTTGACTCAACGCTACACGGTCAAAATCCACGCTCTGCTTCAGTATTCAAAATGTACGACGTGCATTGAACTAACTATGGGAATTGAGACAACAGTCAAACCACTAACTAGCTAGCTGCTAGCTCGCCCACCATTTCATTAAAACAGGAAGGAAGTGGATACGTAATAAAGCCCACCTCCTGCTTGATTTGATTGGTTGCCAAGACCAACTGGGACAATGACCATCTGAAAAGTTAAGAATATTTATATTTTAATTAGTTTTATGAGCAGGGTTTTGTCTGCGCCGGGTAAATTACTTTATCTTATCATATATCAGCCATCTTATGGAAACAAGACAGCAAAGAAGCTATTTAAAATAATATCTTTCAGGACTTTGAACATCAATGTGTGCCTTTGGTTGATCCGTACATGATATCCAGGGTTTTGTCTGCACCGGGTAACAGGAGCGCTGCGCCCTCAAACCAAAAGGCTGATTTTCCCCGTAAAATGTTAAAGGGGACCTATCATGCAAAATGCACTTTTGTACGTCTTTTCTACATGAATATGTGTCCCCGGTGTTCCAGGGAACTCACCAAGTGTCAGAAAACACAACCCTCTCTATTTTCCTCCATACCCAAATCTCTAAAAAAGGGGCTGCAACGGATCTGATAAAAACTGATCCAGATTTGAACACTGTCCTGACGTCAGGACGGTGGCGCTACGGCTATTGGGCCAACTCCACCAATCAGGAGGAGACAGACACGGCCATTGCCGTTCGAAAGCGCTGGAGACGCTGTAGTACATATGCCAGGCCTGTAGGTGGTGCTGTTCTCACATAATCTGCCCTTGCAGAGCAGAGCTAAAAAAAAGTGCAAATTGAGCGAAATGAGGCATGGCTAAAATGCATGATCTGTTTGGTATTTTGAAAAGAAAAAAGTATAAATATGCCTTGTATGGGTATGGTCCTACACTATATTATTCAAATATAGCATGATAGGTCCACTTTAAGTGATGCCAGAAAACAATATTTCTGTTCCTCAAAAACTGTATAATTCCTCCAGAAATCTGAGAATCAAACGGAGCGTCAGACGGCAGAGACAGCTTTGTTTTTACGGAGCTCCGACTTCACGTTGTTGTTTACGTCACGTTGTTGTTTACGTCAGGAGACATCTTGTTTACTGGCTTCATGTTCTCGAGATAATTTATATATCTTATAAAGAAGATCAGAGACACAGTACTCGCACTATATCTTTCTACAAACACCGTCTTAAAGATGCTACTGCTCAGTCCCACAGGAAGACAATGGTTTCAGCTGTTTATTTCCTAAATACAACGTACCCCTCAATCTCTGAAGATGGACAAGTCATACTGTTATTTAAACGTATTTGAGAAGCGTAACCCAAACACACCACCTGCCTCTGAGCTTTCAAACTAACCTTGTCGATAGCAACGATATGCAGCGCTTTGATTTCCTATTCACACGTTCTCTGTGAGCTCAGTGGTTTAACATCGCAGAGTTTAAACCGTACAGGGTGACGGGTCTTCATCTGATTTAGAAATGACTTCATTATCGATCTGAAACAGACTCCTGATATTCTCCTGGTGAAAAATGAAGCACGATGGAGGAATCCTTTTACCTCTAATCCATTTACACACACACACACACACACACACACACACACACACACACACACACACACACACACTCACTACACTCACTCACTCACACACTCACTCACCTCACACACTCAGCCTGATTGGTATTGATCGTGGTGAGTTTATTTCTTGCTGGGTTTCAGTTTACAGGAGGTTTTAGTTTAAAGTATTTTAAAGGTCTTTGTTAAATGTGAGAGAGGGTCTTCTGTCCTCCAGCAGCAGCTTGTTGTTCTTCAGGAAGCTGCTGAATATTTAATCAGACAAACAGTGAGGCACACACACACACACACACACACACACACACACACACACACACACACACAATATACCACATCCGAAAGGCCAACACTCTTGAATCCTTCAAAAAATCTCTCAAAACTCACTTATTCAATGTAGCTTTCAAACTGATCAACAACCCTTTACTCACACTTGGATAGGACTACTATTTATGTTTTGTTTTTCTTTGTACTGTTTCGGATTTTATGTAAAGTGCCTTTGAGCATAAGGAAAAGCGCTTTAAAAATCCAATTTATTATTATTAATATCACAGTATCCACACTGACGGTTGCCCCTTTCCACCAGTTCTTCCTGTTTCCACCGCAGTGGGGCCAGCTCTAATATACCTTGATACCGTATCTAGGGAAGGTCAATAGCCATAGTATAGGCTAGTATAGAGGGCGGGAGCATTGATCCTCCGATTAACGAGCGTTGGGGAATACCGGTTTGAAACCAGCCACTGCGACAAACCATTGTGTCCTTGGGCCGAAGACACTTCACCCTAATTTGCTCCTGTGAGTATTGTACACAGTATTCACTGCTACATGTCTGATGTGTGTAATATGTAATGTGAAGCGCTATGATTCAAGATTCAAGGCTTTTATGGTCATTTGTACATAGCTACAGTGTCAATGAACATCTTTGTTCACAGGCTCCTCCAACAGTGCAACACAATAAAACAGATACAATAGTGCAAGTAAATACAAATAGAATAGAGATAGGGCAAGATTTGAGCATTTGGAAAAGCGCTCTAAAAAATGTAATGAATACTTATTATAATTATTATTATTATAACGTTGGAGAAGACGCTCTTTAATTTAATCTGGCTTCCTATGATTTAATAGCAACATAGGCACCGACTGGATGCAGTACCTGATGTTGTTGTTGTTGTTGTTGAAAATCAGCGAGGTAAACAGTGATGTCATGACGCAGCACCAGTTGGGCTCTGGGGCTAAAAAGAAGGACCGGTTCGGATCCAAAAGAGCACAGAACAAAAGTAGTTCCAGTTCAGAGCTAGTGCAGATTAAGCACCGGTTCTTCCTGTGTACCTTGATGCCATACGGAACGTAAATAGCCATAGTATAACGTTGGAGAAATCGTTATTTTATTTAATCTGGCTTCGTACGATTTAATAGCAACACGAGCATCGACCCGACGCAGTACCCCACTGTTGTTGTTGGTGGAAACACAGCTGGGGCTTAAAAGAAGAACCGGTTCAGAACCAGTAAAGCACGGAGCTAGAACTGGAAACATTACCCCCTTTCAAGATTCAAAGCTTCAAAGCTTTATTGTCATTTGCACAGCAGCTACAGTGTAGATGTGTCAACGACAAACTGAAGTCACAGGCTCCTCCCACAGAGCAACATGTATGTAGGACATAGACAACAAATACAACAGATAAAATAGTCCCTGTCCCTCCAAACCGTGATTCCTCTCATATTTATGGAGGAGAGGATCAGACAGCATCACTAAAGACCCCCCCCCCCCCTCCGGTCTATCTGTTGTTCAAGATAAAAGAGGGGGGGGGGGTTGGGGGATCCTCTCTGTGACCTTCAGCAGCGTCTCATGATATTTGAGCAGAAATCTGAAGCCATAAATATATAAATAATATCTGGATAATTTACATTAATAAGGAGTGAATTATTAATCGTGATGTTTCTCAGCCGGACAGAGGAGGGACGCTATTAAAACTGCCATAAATGTATTTGGGCATTTCACTCTTTTATTTCCCCCAGATTAATAATCCATTTTTATGAAATTTGGGGAAACCGCAAAACAAATTATTATTACATATTTTTATAAAATAATAATTTTAAATAATGTTTGGAATTAAATATTTAATTACACTTTCCCTTTTTTAAGTTTTGCATTTATAAAAAAAATCAGTTTGTATTATTGCATCACCTATTAATTGCCTTACCATAAATACAGTACATGCATTCAGGTACTCTCCGTAGTGCTATAAGTACACGAGCGCACCTATGACTCGCGCGGGCGTGACCAACAAACAGAAACGTATGGACATAGGTTACTATATAAAAAGTGTGCAAATGTATTGAGTATCCTATCCATGTGAACATGTTTTAAGTGGGGGGTGGACCTCACATCCTTTAGGGGGTTGAATGACACACAGAGACCCAGAAGTACTTGTACTTTACTGTATCATATTATTTCGATGGCTTTATTGTATGATTAGTATGACAGATGAACAAATCGTTCCAGTGCGTTCCGGCAACACTACACCCCTGGGTACACTACATGCAGCTGATGGTACCTGTGTAGTATATTAACCTCATATATCTTCCCCCCCAGTTCTCGTCGGCCGGCTGCCTGCTCTCTCTGCACCACAGCGAGAAGCCTGAGCACGAGGAGGTGTGTGAGTTCAGACCGTACACCTGTCCCTGTCCTGGAGCCACCTGCAAGTGGCATGGAGCTCTGGAGGCTGTGATGCCTCACCTGATGCACGCCCACAAGTCTATTACTACACTGCAGGTACACACACACACACACACACACACACACACACACACACACACACACACACACACACACACACACACACACACACACACACCCCTGATGCACGCCCACAAATCCATCACTACACTGCAGGTACACACACACACACACTCACACACACACACTCACACTCATGCACGCTGCAGCTCAGAAACATTGCTTCCTCACTTCTGGTCCCCTGGTCTGTAAGTCAATGGTTTTCTGGATGTGTTTTTGGTTGTGAGCCTGTAAAAAGGTCTGTTTGACTCAAACTGACGAAATGTTACCGCTCGTCTCCTCAGGGCGAGGACATCGTGTTCCTGGCGACGGACATCAACCTGCCGGGCGCGGTGGACTGGGTGATGATGCAGTCGTGCTTCAGCCACCACTTCATGCTGGTCCTGGAGAAGCAGGAGAAGTACGAGGGCCACCAGCAGTTCTTCGCCGTCGTTCTCCTCATCGGAACCAGAAAACAGGCGGAAAACTTCGCCTACCGCCTGGAGCTCAACGGGAACCGGCGGAGACTCACCTGGGAAGCGACACCGCGTTCGATTCACGACGGAGTTTCTGCGGCAATTATGAACAGCGACTGCTTGGTTTTCGACACGTCTATCGCTCACCTGTTCGCCGACAACGGGAACCTGGGCATCAATGTCACCATCTCCATGTGCTGAGGTAAAACAAACTGCTGTAGTAGAGACGATTTCTATCGAGATAGATGGAAGGAGTGAAAGAGGTTTTGATCGCTATGGACAGGACGTTCGGACGCCGATTCCTCGAAGACAGGGATTCTTTTTTTCCCCGTTCTCCATAAAAACTGTGGATGTTTTAGAGCTGCAGAAATATACCATATACGTTTTTTTTTCCCGTGTTCGCAATATTCTCTCCGCAGACTGAGAGTGGGACTAAAACTGGATGTTTCAGAGCTGCAGAAATATACCATATACTGTTTAATGTATGGAGGGAGAAAACTGCCAAAATAACAAATACATAAATAATGTTAAGTTGATAATATGCCGTTAAATGCATTAAAAATAATATTAGAGGTAAGCAAGGATTAATTGATGAATATGATATAAGTTAATATTTCTGTTTACATTTTTTATTTGCAGTTTAATTAGTTCATTTGTTATCTGTTTTATTTTTTTATTTTGGCAGCTTTCGTCCTCCGTATTTGCCCGACCAGATATGTTCATTTTCACACTGTACCATGTCTCTGCTCTGTATGAACTATAAAAACGAATCCATGGGATCCGGATTTTTTCAACGTGTTTTAAACAATTAATAATAAAGGACAATATTTCCTCATCAGGCGTTTCAAACTCTCCAAAATAAAGTGTGAAATATAATAATGAAATACGGGACAACTTAGAGCGTGAAGCAGAATAATGTGAACACGTTTATCAAACTCTTTATTCTCAGATGAAAACAGAGACTCTGTTTCAGCCGCCAGCGCCTTAACTTTGCTACCAACCTCTTCCTCCTCATCCTCCTCTTCCTCCTGGATTCAAACACTGATGGACGGACGGTTTCCTCTTTATGGGGTGCAAATGATAATCGTCTGTAAACCTTTGTGTAGCATCGGAGCAGAAGAGGAACGTCAGCAGAAACATCTGGAACCTCACCGGGTTTCCTCTGAGTTTAACACGCCATAAAACACGGGTTTAAAGTCAGATCTCTAATTCTGAAAACAACATATGAACTCCACATTCAAAGGAATACAGTTTAGAATCAACATGAACAACAGAGACTGGGTTTAGTGCCATTTGGAGCACATTTAAAGGTCTTTAGCGATCTTAAAACGGGGCAAAGTCTGGATGTAAAATACGTTTTATTTGGTCTTATAAAATGCTACCTGGTGCATGGGTGTGTAAATGTCGAATTGGAGAAGAGAGGGTTGCATATATTTAAAAGTGTGTTCAAAAAGGTCTGCAGAATTTGAAATATTTAGAAAATGTCTCTATCATTTGATAAAAAAGCTCAAATATATATTTGGGAAAAGTCTAAATTTACTGAGCAAAAAGTGAAGAATATTTTGAAAAGAAAAGTCTTAATATTCAGAGGAAAAAAAGGGAACAATTATGAAAAAAAAAGTGAATACAAAATGTAGGTACACACTCACCTGATGCACGCTCACAAGTCCATCACTACACTGCAGGTACACACACACACACACACCTGATGCACGCTCACAAGTCCATCACCACACTGCAGGTACCCACACACACACTCACAAGTCCATCACCACACTGCAGGTACACACACACACACTCACCTGATGCATGCTCACAAGTCCATCACCACACACACACACCTGATGCACGCTCACAAGTCCATCACCACACTGCAGGTACACACACACACACCTGATGCACGCTCACAAGTCCATCACTACACTGCAGGTACACACACACACACACACCTGATGCACGCTCACAAGTCCATCACTACACTACAGGTACACACACACACACTTTTTCACAATTAAGAGAAAAAAAGTGAATAATTTTATACCTAAAGCTTAAAAATTGTCCGAAAATTCAAAATTTGGTACAAAATCTACTACTTACTAAATTTCCTGAAAAACAAAAAAGATGTAATATTTTGGTTTAAAAAGTCTGAATAATTTGAGACATAAATATTTTATTTGTAATCGGAGTTATTCAGGTGAGGCGGTCGCTAAGCCTGATACGGTCTTAATTGGAAGGAAAATGTTTACCTATATAATTGATTTGAATCAGTTATCTCAATTATTTTCCCCCAAAATCCTGACATGTTTCTTGAAATTCTGTCTTTTTCCTCAAAATTTTAAAATTCTGACTTTTCCCTCAAAATGTTAAAATTCTGACTTTTCCCTCAAAATGTAAAAATTCTGACTTTTCCCTCAAAATTCAGAATATATTTTCCACTACATCGTAATTATTTACTCTTAATTAAACGAGCATAATGAACCCAGAGGAAACTCCGTCCTCTCTCTCTCTCTCTGATCATCGCCTTTACAACCCGCCGACTTTCTACGAGATGTTTTAAAATATTGTAAATGAAGTTAAAACGAACATTATATTTTATAGAAACGAAGAGACTGCGACGTTTATTGTGTTTTGTTCGATAACGATGTACAGATGTTTTACTTTTTTTGTAATGTTTCTGATGTTGTTGATTCTGATTCATCAAAACACAAACTAATGCTCACTTTTGACCTTTTTATTGGATAATAAAATCTGAATTTAGTGAAAAAGACTCCAATTAAAAGTAATTAAAATATAATCCTTTAGTTAAATGTATTTGGGATGTTTACATTAGTCTGATCAAAACAACTCATTTCAGTCGTGGCAGATCAGCTCCTGATGAAACGAGGTTATTAACATTTTATCTGTTCAGTATTTCTGTGATGTTTCATAATAAACGGTTGCAGTTTATTTCTGTGTGAATCTGAGCTTTAATCAATTCTACATCACAGCAGCCGACCAGAGTGTCTGTGTGTGAGGAGCTTCACGGATTGGTCCATTTGGGTATGGGCACGTCACTGTACCCAGGAAGAAAAGGAGAAATGTCCAACGAGGCGTTCTGGGGCAGCATAGACAGGTCTTTTCTGTGTTAGAGTTTTACTCGCTACAGGGTGTACTTTGAGGGTGTGTGACTCTGCAGACCGTTTACATGCAGAAAAACCTTCATAACACACAAGGGGACAGGTAATAACCGGAAAAGCATGACATGGGACCTTTAACGCTTTATACCCCAAATCAGCACTTTTGAAACAGGAAGTGAAATAGAGGGATATGAGGCATGGCTAGAATGGGTGATCTGTTTGGTATGTTGAGCAAAACACTTCATAGACATGTTTTTTTATATATTTGTATATATCTGAGACCTATGCTATTGCCTAAAAATAGTATGATAGGTGACCTTTAAATATTAATCATTTAAAACCTGATTCATAAAAACACCACAGCTGAAGACGTTTTTTTTCTTTTATTACAAAAACTGAAAGAATACAACATTTAACTTGAATTGTGTGACTGAAGCTGAGAGGATATCAGTAATGTTATCCGGGTGTAATGCACACTGCAGCCTCTAGAGGAAGACATTCTTCCACAAGTAACAACATGAAGAAACACTAAAAAACTACAGAATCCTGGAGAGTCAAATGAGAATTACAATTATTTTCTCTCCCGTGTTTATGCTATAAAAACAGCACAACAAATGAAACCGACAGGATAATTGTATTAAATTCTTTAAAAAATGCAATCTGTGAAACAAATGCCAGGGTGATATTTAAAGTTTTCCACCTGGACATTCTGGTGTAGTGCTGCACTACAGCCCCTTGTGGCTGTATTGAGTATTGCTGCACTTCAGCCCCTTGTGGCTGTATTGAGTATTGCTGCACTTCAGCCCCTTGTGGCTGTATTGAGTATTGCTGCACTTCAGCCCCTTGTGGCTGTATTGAGTATTACAACAACAACCTAACAAAAACGAATCACACCGATTTTTCAAACATTACTTTTTGTTTTTGTAATTTACAGATTTAATTTAAAAAAAATAGTTTACAGATGAAATTAAAAAAAATATATATATATTTTTCCCAAACTTTTTCAAAGATGACTTTTTTTTGGATAAATAAAAAAAGATAATCTTGAACATAATAATAAACAAAACAATTTTACATCCAAAACTTTCTAATATTCCTTTTATAAAATATGATATGTCCAGGTTTAAACTGCTATCCTCATTAAGCTGCATTAAAGGAATTTAGTTTCACTGTTCATTAATCTGCCGAGTAGTTTCTCCAATAATCTGTTTGGTTAATAAAATGTTGTGACTTTAAACTTTGATTGGGATGTTTTTGATAGTTCCTGTTGAGTTGGCAGTCTGTTCTGGTCTAAAAGAAGAACCAATGATTCATGTATCTAGAAAATATTTACGGTGTTTTCAGTTTGATTCTATTCTCTTTTGTTAAAATGATTGATAGATAGAATGGGAGGGATGAAACTCTCTTTAATAGTCACACATGCAGAGCACACAGTGACATGTGTTCTCTGCTTTTAACCCATCCTAGCACCAGGAGTCTAGCACCAGGAGTCTAGCACCAGGAGCAGTGGGCAGCTAGTGTACAGCGCCCAGGGAGCAATGGGAGTGAGGGGTTGTCCGGTGCCTTGCTCAAGGGCACCACGGCAGGGCAGGAGGTGAACTGGGACCTCTCCAAGTAGCAGTCCACACTCCATATTTAGGTCTGGTCGGGGACTTGAACCGCCGACCCTACAGCTCACAGTTCAAGCCCCTACTGACTGAGCCACTGCCGGATCAGACTGTACCAAAATAAAAAGGCTTAGAAACCCCTGCATATTGTTGGTGTTTTGCGGCACATCATAAACATGTCATTCCCTTGTTTTAGGGCCGCTGACTGCTGGATGTCACTCAAACTTACATTTGAATGAAAAATATTTTTAAACTCTGTGTGTTTGTCCCGGTTTGTTCCCAGTGAAGGACTCCAGCACACAATAGGCGCCTTCACACCAAGTACTTTTCTCAGGAATAGTTCCTGGAACTCTTTATTTCCTGGAACTCTTAATTCCTGAACTTTCTAGTAGATTGCGTTCACACCGGAATAAGTCCCTGAGGATTACGCAAATGAAGCCGCTGACGTCACTTCTTCTTCTTCTGCTTTGGGTTTACTGGTAGGCCGCAAACAACTTCACGGCGTAAATCGCCAGAAGCGCCGACACCTCATCACTCCACCGCTCTCATGTTTTATTTTGTGTTGCCATAAGTTAGTCTCTCTCCGTTGGTGCGCTGGGCTAATGCTAATGCTAATAATGCGAGCAAATAAAATGGCGGCTTCACAAAACTTTTCTGAGTTTTACGGGGCGTGGTTTGCAATTCGCCCAGCCAATCAGAAATTGGAACCTTTTTCTCCCCAGGAAAGTACCACCTCTCTAGCAGGGACTGAAAAGGGGGGAAAAGGTTCGCATGAACTAGGTTCTAGTTCCAGATCTTTTTGGTGTGAACGCAAAATCCCAGGAACTATCGGAACTATTCCTGGGAAAAGTACTCCGGTGTGAAAGCGCCTAATGAGGTATTAACCACCAAAAAGTGTGTTTCTCCAACAGTTTAAGTCTCTGAACACCTTTAAAATAAGTCAAATTCAGAAGGTTAAAATCATTGTTTCAATGGTTTGTAGTGGAATAACTTTCTGGAAAATAAGTCATTTAAATGCCAAACATTTCCCATTTTTTTATTTTAGGTAGCAGCAAAACCTTTAATAGCAACACCATTTTCGATGCTAATTAACATTTAAATCTGGCTCTTGAGCGCTCTGAAGTGAAGTCTACTTCTTGCGCCAAATCCATCCATCAAATTCAATCAATTTTCGTTTGAATATCGTTGGAGAAATTTACAAAATTAATATTTGCAAAAAAATAAAGAAATCACATGTTTTCACATTTGTTTCAAACATGATCTGAAGTCATAAACACAGGAGAAAAAATTACAATAATAAGATTTTTTTATTTTTGCCCCTCCAGGCTTCCCTACTTTTCTCCATCTCCACTTCAGTGTTTACGTCTATCCTCTCTTCTTCTCTCGTTCTCTCTCTCCCTGTCTCCCTCTCTTCTTCTCTCATTTTCCCTGTCTCCCTGTCTCTCGCCCTCTCTCTCTCTCTCGCCCTCCCTCCTCCTATCTCCCTCCCTCTCTCTCTCTGTTTCTCTTCTTCTGTCGTTTTCTCGGTCGCAGTCAAACTCCCTTTTCATCTTGTGGTCTCTCTCGCCCTCCCTCCTCCTGTCTCCCTCTCTTTCTCCCTCTCTTTTTCTCTCGCCCTCCCCCCTTCTCTCTCTCTCGCCCTCTCCCCTTCTCTCTCTCTCGCCCTCTCTCTCCCTCTCTCCCTCTCTTTTTCTCTCGCCCTCCCCCCTTCTCTCGCCCTCCCTCTCACCCTCTCTCTTTCTCTCGCCCTCCCTCTCTCTCTCGCCCTCTCTCTTTCTCTCGCCCTCCCTCTCTCTCTGGTTGTATTTCTCGTAGGCGGCGTCCTCTCTCTCTTCTTTGACTCTGATGGCGGCGGGAGGAGGTGAGGAAGACGAAGAGGAAGAGGAAGAGGGGGAGAGCCTCTTCTTCTTCTCTTTCTTCTCCTTTTTCTCCTTCTTCTCTTTCTTCTTCTTCTTCTTCTCTTTCTTTTCTGGAAAGCAGAGATATGAAAATCAATCCCGAGAAATTAGTCAGCATTATGAGTTTCAAGCCCTGACATTTGAGAGCATTAGGAGACATAAAACTCAGAAATTAGTCAGCATTATGAGTCTGAAAACCCTCAAATTAGTCAGCGTTAGGAGACATTACATTTAGAAAAGAGTCAGGATTATGAGTCCTTAAAACCTAGAAATGAGTCAGCATTATGAGTCCTTAATCCCTGAAATGAGTCCTGATACTTAGAAATGAGTCAGCAATATAAGTCTGAAAATGCTCAAAATGAGTCAGCATTAGGAGACATAAAACGTAGCAATGAGTCAGCATTATGAGTCCTTAAAATCTAGAAATTAGTCAGCAATATAAGTCTGAAAGCCCTAAAATGTGTCAGCATAGGAGACTTAAAACCTAGAAATTAGTCAGCGTTAGGAGACATAAAACGTAGCAATGAGTCAGCATAATGAGTCCAGAAACCTAGAAATGAGTCAGCAATATAAGTCTGAAAACCCTCAAATTAATCAGCATTATGGGTATTAAGCCCTGAAATGAGTCAGCACTGGGAGACTTAAAACCTGTAAATGAGTCAGCATTATGAGTCCTAATACTTAGAAATGAGTCGGCAATATAAGTCTGAAAACCCTATGCATTAGGAGACATAAAACGTAGAAATTAGTCAACATTATGAGTCCCGAAACCTAGAAATGAGTCAGCAATATAAGTCCTGAAAACCTTAAGATGAGTCTGCATAATATGTCCAGAAACCTAGAAATGAGTCAACAATATAAGTCTGAAAACATACAATTTGTCAGCATTAGGAGACTTAAAACTCAGAAATTAGTCAGCATTATGAGTCCTTAATTCCTAAAATGAGTCAGCATTATGAGTCCATAAAACCTTAAGATGAGTCAGCATTATGAGTCCATAAAACCTTAAGATGAGTCAGCATTATGAGTCCATAAAACCTAGAAATGTGTCAGCATTATGAGTCCTTAAACCCTGAAATTAGTCAGCATTATGAGTCCATAAAACCTTAAGATGAGTCAGCATTATGAGTCCTTAATTCCTAAAATGAGTCAGCATTAAACACCAGGGAGATGCTAACTTCAGGTTTCACTACAGAAATACGTCGCCCCTGCTCATACTTCCTGTTTCAGGGTCAACAGGAAGTGACCTCACTGACCTTTCTTAGCCTTCTTCACGGGGATGTGGTACTGCTCCTCTTCCTCTTCCTCTGAAGAAGAGGAGGGGG